GAAAAGGACCAACAGAGCTGAGATAAAGGAGCCTGCCATTGTTGAAGGGTAAAAATAACTGTTTCACAGAAATGGTAACAAAAAAGGTACAAAAATGAAATTGAGACTTTTTGTCCCAGTTATCAAAGTTATTGTTGGTCCTTCTCTTGACTGAACTTATTTAAGTTGTACTGATGACACTGGAAAGATACAGTTCAGCCAGAGTTACTGTTTGAAAAGGAAATTGAGATAGAAGAAGTCGTCCATCAACCACAGGTGGCTTTGCAAGACCGTAATTTGTTTGTGTTTAGTTATGCACAAGACATGAAAGCTTGAGGCACAGACGATGATCAATGTAACATAATATGATTAAAGGATTACAGAATGACAAGGATCATTTCACAGTAAATTATCTGTTTTTAATTTATTTACATTTTAAGGTACCATCCAAATGCTTGTGCTTAATTATCACAAGATATTTATTTATTTTTACTTTTAATCGCTGCTTAACTTTTCGTGCGATTCCAAAGAGGGATATACAGACCTTTGCTAAAGGTGGATTTAATACTTCCAACAATAAAATATGATCTCTATAATTTGCTTCTTCCAACCTGCTGCCAGAGCTATAGAGCTCTCAGTGAGTTACTAATAAACTTTATGAGGATGTAGAAATGTGGTAAAGGTGAAGAGCAGAAACTGTAGAAGGAGGTAGGACAGGTCATCTACTAATCGGAAGGTTGATTCTTTGATCCCAGGCTGCTTCCAGTCTGCATGTCAAATACCTCTGATCAAGATCCTAACCCAGAGCTGCTCTCCAGTGCACCAATGAATGTGTGTGCATGTTCGACAGAGAGCACGTGCATGAATAAAAGTGAATGATGAAAGTTGTGTAAAGTGCTTTGAGTGTTCAAGTAGAGTAGAAAAGCTCCAGACATTTACCGCGTGTTTTAAATTAGCATAAGCAGTGTTAAAATATGACATCATTAAGAAATGAGAAGTGGCAGCCATGACAACTATGTAATGATGCAATGTTAATTAGTCAGTTTCCAATGTTGATTGTGCTAGTTAACCATGATCACACATAGCTTTCAAGCACTTTCTGTCATTGACACATGCTGATGGACGTATTGTCCATGTCCTGGCCACGGATATTTCAGCATGTGGATTGGAGAAGTCAGGGATCAACCCACCGACGTTCTTTATGTGGATGACCCACCCGAAGATTGCTTTTCCCCCTCTATTTATAAAAAAAAAAAAAATCCACATGTGTACTGAGCGACAGATGTGGAAAATTGTTAAATCTCTAGCATGTGAGAAACAAAGGCTAAGTTGTATTAAGACATGCAAAAAGCTACTTTTATAGTTACCGTTAAGATAAATCAGACCAATGCTGCAGTCTCCAAATATATCGCAAAAGTTTAAAGATGGGTTTGCTTATGTCCTTCTGTGCAGCTGAGGCAGTGTAGGGATTTAGTTATTACTATACATCATGTTTATTATCACATTGATGCAGGAGGTGTTTTGATGTTCCTATTGACATAAGTTAAAGCCCGCACCATGGACGAAGTCGCAGCCAAGTGTTACACAGCAGTATATCACGGTAGAAACTGCCACCAAAAAGGTTTAACCATTATCTGTATGAGCAAATGTCATTGAGGGCACAGTCTGTGTTACTTGTCAGCTGTGCAGTTCCCTGTTTGCCTTATCTCCCTGCTCTCTAGCTACAACTTCACTCTCTGGCAAGTCCCTGCAAAGTAAAATAGATCTCAAAGTCAAACACAAAAGATTTCCTAAAGGCAGGGGAAAGATAAACTATGACAGGTGGCTTTTTGGATTAGTCTTGTTTTGGGGAAGTGGAGGTGTGGGATCCGATAAACAAGCTATTTAAATGAAAAGGGGAGGTGGGGGTAGATAAGGAGGAGGATAATTTTGAAAGCAGCGATCTAGTTCTCTGCAGAGAGTGTATCAGAAAAGCTCCCCAACGCTGCTTGCTCCAGTGCACACACACATACACCTTGCGTGGGTGACAACTCCCCCCACCCTCCTCGGATTTGTAGAGGCTCACTGCTCTTAGTAATTCCATCTACAACATGTGAGTGTGTGTGTGTGTGTGTGTGTGTGTGTGTGTGTGTGTGTGCATTCATGTGCTCCTCAAAAGAGTTATCCTTCCACCGCCTTTCAAACTCATGTTTGCAAAACAGGAGGGAATTTTGATTACAGTTCTTTATTTCACAGAGACTGAATGTGCTTATGTTTGCTCGTCTTCCAGTAGTCAGCGCCACCAACTTTAACCTTCCACCTTTTTCATTATTTCTTTGCCGTATGAAACCCTGTTGTATTAATCCCGACAAAGAAATCATTATTTCCAACTCGGATTATACTGATGCCACAGTGAGAAATTTAAATATCAATATGTTAAACTAATTGTGACCAAGAGGATTTGCTTCCACCCTCCCATCCCCATCCAGAGCTGGTGTTGTTTACTGAAGAGGATAAACATTTTGGAAGTGATTATTTCACCATCTGCTACTGGTAAACACTTTGAAAACCTCAACTGTGCTAGAGGGAGAGTGTCATCCTCCTGTTTTTGATACCATAAAGCGGCTGAGCAGATCTAACCTAGTGGCACATGAGAAATACGTGCATAATTAACGTAACAATGTGATACACAGGTTTTAGCACGCTTACACTTTTCTCCCTTAGCATCGTCCATTCAAGTGGATCAGAACGAGATCAAGCCCAGCAGCAATGAGGAGGAAGCAGAGGCTAAAGGTTTTGGGAAGCTTTACTTCAGCACGCAGGCATCAAAGCAGCAGGAGGAGCGCAGCGACAACGAGCAGGATCTCATCTCAGATGTCATCTCGAGGAAGGAGCTGGAGAAAGGACGGCTGTCAAGAGATGGTAAATGTAACGCACAGAAATGTGACAGATTAAAAGAAAAGGCAACAAAGTCTCTTAGTAAAGGGGTTGGGCCACCTCGTGCTATTAGCATGTCATCGATTCAAAGTCTTTGTAAGGATAAAATGCATAGTGTGATGCAGGGTGTGATCTAGTCACTGCAAAGGCCACAGGATCTGAGTCACATAATTTTCATGCTTACCAGATTAATCAATCAGTAAGAAACGATCCAAAAATGCAGTTTTAGGTTAGCTATGTGATTACAGTAGTCACTTTTTCATGGAACTGTTGTTCTGTCGGTCCAGTTTATTGTGCATCAGCTGCTGTGTCAGTTTCCAAAAGTCCTTGCTTTCCATTTCAAGGAGCTGTAATATATTCTGATTCCCTCCTTTGTTTAGATGCGAGTAGAGTAGAAACAGTAGATACTTTGAAATGCATATTAGCATAAACTGCCAGTTAGCTGAGAGGCATCATGGCTAAAACAAAAAAGAAGTGCAAATTGTGGAAAATCTGCCTTGAAAGAAATCCTTCACAGAAACAGGAGCTGGTGGTAAATATGGAACAGAATTTTCTTTTGGCATTGCAAAACCCTGCTTCTAATTAGCTTCTACTGACTGTGACCGTCTAATATTACATTCACCTTTTTTTGAGTGCAAAATATCAAAGCATTCAGCGTCAGCATATTGTTAATCTGAAACATTTTAAGACGAGATAAGGGAGTAAAGTAACATCGTTCTCCCTGTGTAGAATCAACAACCTAGCCGTGCAGTCTACCTTTAGTGGTTCACATGTTTGCTTGGCAGGCAAAAGGTCACTGGTTCAATTCCAGCCCGAGTTTACCACCAGAAGGTAATTCCAGACCCTTTGTGGGTTGCGTTGGGAAGAGCGTCTGCCGTAAAGCTGCCAAATCAAACATGCAGAGCTTCCCACTGCGGCAGCCCCTTGTGACAAGCGAGCAGTCGAAAGTAGCTTGACTGTAATACTTGTTGCCGCCGATCAGTTCCTTCCTAGATACTCTACAATCAGCTGTAAGTGGTATTATTGCAAAGTGGAAGCGGTTAGGAACCACAGCGTGTCGGCAACAAAGTGGCAGCCACATAAATTTACAGAACGGTGGCGCTGAGTGCTGAGGCGTATAGTGGCTAAAAGTCACCAACGCTCTGCTGACTCATAAGACATCAGCTCAAAGACTGATCTGGTAGGTGGCCCAGTGCTTTTGTCTATCTAGCTGTTGGTGTGTGTTATATAAAACTTTGAAACTTCCATTACTCAGGAAGGCCAAAAATGATCAACATTACTGACATTAGCAGGGTTGTAGGGATGATGATGATTACAAGTCATTTTCTCTAATGAGGTTGTGATTTTAAGATTCCGTTATCGTAATTATTTACAATTTATCCAGTGACTCACAGACAGAATTATCATTTACAGGTCTACTCGGCTTTGCAGGGCAGGTTAGCTTAAATTCAGCTTCAGGGCAGAGCTGCTTTCAAATCCTGCTGTTTAGTTGAATAGGTGAAAACACACCTCCAAATAAACACTGACATTCCTCTGGCTCTGCTGGCCATTTACATAGGTTTAAATGTGGAAAAATGCACATTTTCATGTATATTTAAACCATTTTAGACAACTTGTTTTGTTTCTCCCTGGCACGAGAGCAAATTTGACAGAAAGGTAGACCTTTATTAAATAGTTGGGCTATCCAACCAATACTTTGTCTCACGTTCTCTGACGCCGTGTTTTTAGAAGCACGTATACACCAGCTAACACACGATATGCCCAATTACACTGAAAAACAAGTTCATACATGTAATCATTGCTTTAAAGTCATGGAGCTTCTAAGCCTAGTTCTTTCTCAATCCTGTCTTAAATAAAACATTGAGCGGATGGTATTGAGTTGCAACGACTTTGAATTTATTTAAATTTTTTGGTATAGGCAGCCCTGTGATCCTTTGTACCTGTTTTTTTGAAATTCACCTTGCATCAAGGCACCCCCTCCTTCTCTCTTTTAAAACAGAGATAAAAAGGATGTCTGTGTTTAAAAATTATGAACCTGGCGAGCCGACCTGCAGACTATACGTGAAGAACATTGCAAAGCAAGTGGAAGAGAAGGTAGGTCCTATTTTAGCTCTTTGATCCACTTTTATGCGGTTGTTTGGTTCACTGGAGTTGTTTCGTGAGAGTCTGGGATCATCGTCCTATATATTAAATTGCCATAGCATCAGTTATCTTTAAAAATGTCTTGTTTTACATTACTACTGTTTGACGCTATGCTTCCTGGGAAAATGGTGATATTTCTTCCCTTACATTTGATACGGAAGCTGTTCAGTGAATTCGCAGGCCTCCTTAGCCGTAGCTCACAGCTGTGAGTAACGGCCCTGGTGAAGGTGAGAAAAAAGGTGGCAGCAAAAGTGTTCTCTGTGTGGGCGTCTCTGGGCTCACCTGAAGGTCAGGCTGCCTTAATCTCCACCGTTAACCTCCCGGCTGTGTCGAGCTGATTTATCCAATAAGCTACTTTGTTGCCTTCTAGTTCGCAGAGAGACTCAATTAAGTGCGAAGCAAATGTGTCATCAACATTTTGGGTTAATATTTATTCAATTTTGTAATGATGCATCACAAAAAATAAATAAAATCCTAATCATTTTTGCTGCTAATGTTTATTATTTGTCTTCAGGAGCTGAAGTACATCTACGGGAGATACATTAACCTCTCGTCAGAAGAGGAGAGAAACATGTATGTTAACATCAATCCTCCCTATCATGTCTTTACTTCATATTAACACAACTTGTGATTCACTCCCCCCCCCCCCCAAGTTTCTCTTCATGAGCTATTTTTTGACTCTAGCAATTTGTCACTTTCTCTTGAGAGTTTTTAGTTATTCATGCTGACACTGTCTTGTGTTATTAATAAGTACCTAAACTGATGTAGAGATCATGAGGGACGTTTTTATGTTTGTGCATCAGCACTACTTCAAATGAATATTCCACCTGAGTCATCAAACCGAGCTTATGTTGAGGACGGACTCTGAACACAGATTCAGGTGATAAAAAGGAAACTGCAACTCTGCGAGCCAATCAGTTTCTCACTTTAGTGACCTGCTTGGCTTTTTTCTTTTTTCTTTGGCGTTTACAACAATTAGTGACCTCAACACTTTTGAAAAAGAGTTCTGAACACCAGCTTTTTTGCAACAGTGAAAACATTTTGAGTGTTTAAACTGTGAAAATGTTCAATTTCAAGGGGAAAAAAATGAGTCATTTGGAATTTGAAGGCAGCAACATGTATAAGAAAGTTGTTGTGGGGCCGTGTTTAACATGGTGTCGCATTCACTCTTCTTTAATAACAATCTGCAAACATCTGGGAACTGAGGAGACCAGCTGTTGGTCTGCTGGGAGAGGAATGTTGCCCCATTATTGTCTGATTTAGAATTCTAGCTGCTCAACAGTCCTGAATTTTCATATTTTCCTGTTGGCTTTCATGGTTTCTTTTTTGTTTTTTTTAAATTTTATGATGTGCAAAATGTTTTCAGTTGGGGAAAGGTCTGAAGTCATCTACAAAGATGTTTGTGCAGGATGCAGTTTAGCATCGTATTGCTGAAATATGCAAAATATGTCGTCTGTATGAGAGCTCTGTTGCTCTAAAACCTTTATATATGCATATATGGGGTATGCAGGGTGCATGTTTTCCAAAAATGGTGACCTGCCGCTTGCGCTGGAGACATTCACAGCTGAGTGCAAAGTGGTGGGAATAACAATTAGCACCTCCAAGTCTGTGGCCATGGTTCCAGAAAAGGGTGAAGTGCCCACTCTGGGTCAAGTTCAAGTGTCTCTGGGTCTCGTTCATAAATGGGGGGAGATTCAAAATGAGCTAATGTTTTTCTTAAAATGGTACATTTTTTACCTTCAAATATTATATATGATTTTTTAATATCCTGTTTTAAGTTAATTATGGGGGTTTTGAAAATTGGGAGATTTTTGTTTTTAATTGTATTTTCAACAGCATCTCAGGTTTTTGGGGAATTGATCATTTATGCAAATGACAGCTTGTCTTTAGTGAATTCAAATAAACTGTAGCACAGAAAAGCTGGTCCTAAGAGAACTAAGGTGAACGTGAGTGAATGTTGTCACTTGATAACTTAACCAGCTGTCTGCAGCTGCTCCCTCACAGTCAGCTGTGCAGCAGCAAAATTAAAGACAGCTTTCTGTCGTCTCTAAATTTCTTTGTCATCACAGTTTTAAATTGTTAATGTGTGTGATTACACAGCTGTTTGTCATTAACATGTACTTATATTGATGAAGTCAACCTTAAAATAATGATTTAGTCAGCTACCTTTTTCTGTCCATCTGCTTACCTGATGTTGCCAAATGATTAGAAATGAAGAAGAGAGATTCAGTGTTTCAGGTTTCACTGTGTGCTGGATAGACATGTTGTGTTCAGTGTAGTTACATGCCTAATGTTTTGGTAGTAGACTGCACTTTAATACAGATTTTCAATTATTCTACCAGCTAAATATCGACTCAGTTGAATCAATTAATTGGAATAAAAACCTGCAGGTTGCTGGGTCTCACTAACGCATGACCGACAGCCGCTGTTTTATGAGCTCGCAGGAGCAGATAACATTTTCCTTTTGTAACGCTGAAAAGCCAGAGCTTAACGTTGAGTCGACCAGGCCACAAGCTTTGAATGATAATGATGTGTCTTTATTCCTGTTCCATAGGTTTGACATTGTGTTAATGAAGGAGGGGCGGATGAAAGGGCAGGCCTTCGTCGGACTCCCCAGTGTGCAGAGTGCAGAGAAAGCCCTGCAGGAAACCAACGGCTACGTACTTTATGACAAACCTCTGGTTGTTGTATCCTTTCTGTCAGATGAAACAAAGACAACGTGTGAATTCAGGTTGCACTGATATTTGTTTGGATTTAAAAACGTAACCATTAGTGTGCATTATTTAGCGTAACAATACAGTGCAGGTAAAAACATGGTAAACAGAAGGAAGTGATCTAAGTGGCTATGACATGTAAGGGAACGTGCAGAAAATGGTACAGACATCAAGGGGTAGTTGAGAGATGATTTATCAAGTGGGCACTTGCTTTCACAGATGTGCTTTTGGCTTTGGTCCTCGGTACCTTCAGGAGGATATGGTCTAATATCTGGCAGCTCTGAACCACCACCTGTTTTTCTTCCTCTTTCCAGAGATAACCATGCATCAATATTTGAACTTGTTTAATGGAACAAGGCTATTGACTTTGATAGTGTTTTAATGTGCATCCTGCACCCAATTAGCTTGTCGACAGCATATTAGTCTTTCAGCTCAAAGAGTGAACAGAGATGTCTGCAGCATAATTTACTTCAGGTGTTGTCCTGCATTCAGCTGTGTTGCAGGAAAAATAAAAAAAAGAGGATAAAATTTGTCTCTCAGTATCAATTCAGTTTTATTTATATTTATAATATTTTAGCCACTATGTGATTAGTAAAATGTGGGATGGTCTTTTTTTGGTTGTCGGTATTTATTTATTTATTTATTTTTTAAAATATATGTCAGAAGATATCAGTATGAGGATGCACTTTATTTATTCCAAAAGTTTGGACGTTATTCCAAAGCAGGAGAACTGACCTTGCTACATATCCAAATACAAAGTAGCTCAGAAAACTTAAAAAAAAAACATTCAGTGGGAGCTAAATAAATAGGAAATTTAAAAAAATTCAATCTAAATAAATTAAAATCTGAATATAATGCAATAAAAGATTAAAAGAAGTCTTCTCAGTTGATGGAGCAGTCCAAGCAGCAACAGCAGTGTTGGGAGAAGCTCACTTGGCAGGCTGACCTGAAGTTGACATGTTAACTTTGTTACCTTTCACCTTCATTTCTGATCTCTGTGTCAATCTCAGCTGCTTGACTCTTTGACATTGCATTTATTGGTTCCTCTTGTGTGTAATGCTGTGCCTTTTCAAGTCTGTTTGATTAAAAACTAATTTGATGGAGGCTGCCAGTAAGATTAGCTTAGCATAAAGCAAGGGCCAACCAGGTAATAACAAACAGCTGTGCCACTTGCTATTGCACCATTCACAGTGGCTGCTGGCTACACTGATAAGCTTGGTGTCAACGTTCTCATCCAACTCTGAGCAAAAAATAAAGTTTTCCCAAAAATTATTTCTATAATTACTGCTACTGTAAAAATGTTAAGATTTTTAATTCCACATTTTGCTCTGGATATTAAGTTATACGCTACAATTATTATTGTATAATTAGTCCTTTATTCTGAGAAATGTTTCCTGGATTGGCTTGTTTGCGTACGTTTGTTGTAAAATGAAATAAGCATGTACTCATAGCTTAAATGTGATATTTTTCTAGTCTGTTCACAGTATCAGAAAGCAAACAGAGGTTCATTCAGGTACAGATATCTTTAGGCAGAGGACAGCCAGTCCCAGTTTGAATTCCCTGTCATGATTTTTTTCAGTTTGCCTGAGACTGCAGTATGGCACTTACCAAGAGCTGCAAAAATTAGTAAGCTTGAAGAAAACCCGGCATAAAATCCTCATATGTTTTAGTCTGAGGTTTGTTAGCAAAAACACTCCGGTCACAGTCTTCCACACATTTGGATCTCTTCTCTTTATTTAACCTGCTACGTGAGGTGAACTGTTTATCAGTCTGTATGATTATGATTATGGTTATGTCACTGAGTAAGTGAGGCAACCTCAGGAAACCAAGAGACCCAAACTCTTATAAGGTCAATTTTGGCCAGAAGTCTTCTGGCATTTATGAACAAATAGCTGAGACCTTTACTCAGATTAAATTCATGAGGCAGTGAGTGTCACAAGGAAGAAGGCCGATGTGGCCTAAAGCTGCTCTGTGCAAGTTCAGAAATAAATGACACTCCATGGCTGTGAGATAATTAATGAATTATAGATTGCAGTAGTACATAGAATTGAAAAAATTTGCTGCCCCAGACCTTAACTCCACAATTCTCAGCAATTTGCTCGATCTGCAAGACCGAAACAAGACAACACAGCTACCAAAAGAGGGCCAAAACAGAGGTGAAGTCAGCAGGTGAGCGATGATATGGTGATGAAATGATAATATGGAAATGATTTGCCTTTTCTCATGATGCCACTGTGCATATATAGAACAAGCCTTATGTTTATTGCAATGGTGTTTTCGCTTCACAATTATGTTTACACTTTATCTATTCAAGATACCAAGGCTTGATATTGTGGCCCAGCAGAACCATTTGTATCCTTATTGTGTCATATCCTTTGGGGAAAAAAATGAGGGGGGAGCGGTTTAACTGCAGATATTGTAGCACAAATATATTATTATAGTATAGCTTTTTTTGGTTTCTTTTCTTTTTCTAGCCTATTGTATCTTATGTCTTTTTTTAGCACTGACTTTGTAACCATAAGCTATTTTTGAATCGTAAACTTCTTCATTGATTTCTGCCCTTTTTGACTGAATTTCAGGTGGAGGTCATCAGAGCATGTTTTCTTCCTTTCTGCCATTAAATACAATATTTTATTAAAATTATTTTTGTCGTGGTTTATTCCAATCATCGCCTCAAACACGTGTCAGCATTTGCGCGTACACTTCAGTCAAACTATCATTACTGATTATCTTTAGTCCCAAACTTGAAGTCCTGTCAGCCGAGTAAATACAGACTGGGGAAGGTATATGAGATCGAGATTGGCTCTGAAGCAGATGGTAGGCTGTCAAAACAGTGGGGGGAAAAAAAAACCCACAGTCCTGAAGAGACAGCAAACAAACCAAACAGACTGCTGTGTGTGGAAAAATTGCTGGGACTGGGTTAGCTTACCTTTACAATCCCTGGCTGGCTCCATCTGTGTGATTATAGAGAGTAAACCTTGGAGGGTGAACTTCTCCCCTCAGCAGCCATCATATCTAAAGATTTGGAAATAAAATTGTTTTTTGTCCTCTAGGTATGAGCAATACTGGAAGTGTGCTTTGGCTCACGTCAATCACAAAGTAAAGTTTGTGATGTCGCTGATATTTAGGCATCAAAAGAAGAGAAAACGTTAATATGATGATGCGAGAAGATTGTCCTTATGTTAAGCTTTCCCCAACTTGGAGCGCTTTAAAAGTAGATACAGAGCAGCCGAGGGACACCTTTTTACAATGCGTCAGATCCATACAAGGGTTGCATTGTATCTTTTCTTGTATTCGCTCGAGCCGTTCTTCTCAGCTTGCCCACACACGGTAACATGCGAGCCTCCCGTAAACCCGTGGTGGTGTTTTTCTTTCTGAAAGCACACGGATGTACCCTTCACATACACCTACTGTTCTATCTTACAGGTTTTTAATAAATTTGAATGCACACATGACAAGTGTACAGTGCAGCCTGTGGAAGGGTTCCAAAACGGCAATAAAAAAAAAAAAGCATACAACAAAGAATAGATTTAGATGGGTCGTGATGAATGTGCAGATCAGTATAGGTACGAGTTGTCTGAATACATCTATTTTCAGGGAATGACAATATGTACTAATTAATGGATCTTCCTTGTCACATTTGACAAGTTGATTTTAAAGTGGGCATACTACCTCCAAGTAGCTGATACTCTACCACCAATCACAAATCAGGAATGTGTTATCTGCTACATCACACAATGCTGTTTCATTGAGTTATCCCCCCGCGTGTAAGCGCAAAAGGCTTCATATACCAGCTTGGAGGTATGATTTAAAGTTGGCAGAGAGAGTGGTTGCCGTTGCAACAGTTTTACCCAAGTACTGCGGGGTAATCTTACTTTTTGTATAACTTTACCTATGAAGCTTCTTGTAGTTCATTACATTCCAGCGTTGCACATGAGTTCAGCCTCTCGGTAGTTAAGATGTACGCACGAGGGGTTATCAATCAAACACGTGCTTGTCTGGTCCGACCCGCTGCTCATATGTCAACGCCAGTGTGTAGGAGTAGTTCCCATCTGTGCCCTACTCTGCCCGCCACCTCAACGATGACAAATGTGCCACCCGCAGTGAAAATATTGAGAGTTACCAGGACATTTATCAGGTAACATTTGAGCAATAGGGAAGATAACCTTTTGTAAGTGGACGCTGATAAAGATGTATGTTCTTCCTTTCCTCTAAACGGGCTCTGTCTTTGTTTAATACCTACTGCAACTACCCAGAAGTAATATCGTGATAATGTTTCATATTTTGGGTTCAACCAGGTGTGCAATACTTACTGAGTCTAGCCAAGCCTTTGGATTGCTGAATGTGTGTCCACAAGTGGGCATTATATGTTGCTAAGTTGGATGCCTGCAAGTACCTGTTCTGGTCACTGATCACAGTTGTATGAATCAACGGGCTTTCAGCCTTTGTGGTTGTGTACTGGATATCCCCAGTACAGTCTGAATGCAGTGCTCATAAAATTATTAATACCAGTAAAGAACTGGTTTGCTACATGAAGGTTTAATCAGACACAAAAGCTAAGAGTTAAACTGAAAGATTTGGAGGGAGGCGATGCTCTTTGACGGAACCAAAGCAGCAGAGAAGATTTGGCTTTATAAGCACTTCTTAAATGTTCCGTTCAGGCTAAAACTGAATGAAACTACAACGTTGGGGTGGTGGGAGGAGGTAATACATTAAGAGCTGTTGGCATGTAAGGGATCCATTTGTGCTGTCAGATTATAATACCTATACCTGAATCAATATAACTGAGTGTTGGGTGTCAGCTGTGAATGACACAGTGATTGTGAAGCGTGAATAAAACAGCTGATGTTAATCAGATGATTAAGGTAAGGTCCTGTGCTTGAATGCAGTTTATCAAAAAATTATGTGTCTTACTAATGACAGAGGAAAATTAAAGAAATGTCCACAATCAGCACTTTGCTGGCTTAAAGTGAAGCCAAAAAGCATTTTTCTCATCAATTAGTTTTGTACTTCATGGTGGAGAAATTGTATGAAGTCTATGAAAAAACTGTAATTCATCAACAATTTTACAGGGTGGAATCAAAAGTCGAATTTATCCCAAAAATATATTTATATTGTCTGTCAGTGTTTTAACCATATTTAGTAAAATAGTTTTAATGCAATTGTGCATTAACACAAAATTAGATTTATTGTTTATTGAGTAGATACAGCATGCACTCTATTGTGGATATAATCTACACGTTTTTGAAGTTTGCTAGTCTGGATTCAGCCGTTCAAGCATGTTTTAACAAAATGTCATATAACTTCTCAGGAATGAATGTCACAGAAAACTGGCCTCAAGGTCAGACTGCAGTGCATAGAGACATTGCAAAAAACCCAGGAGCAACAGGCCTCAGTTAGCATGTTAAATGTTAAAGTTCACAGCAGTACAATTAGATAAAGACAAAGCATGTGTAGCTTTTTGGGAGGGTTTCCAGGAGAAAGCCCCTTGTCTCTAAAATGAACATGGCAACACATCTTAGGTTTTCAGAATTGCATCTCAACAAACCACAAAACTTCTGGAACAATGTCCTTTGGACAGAGGAGACCAAAATCGAGGTGTTTGGGCATAGTACACATGTGTTCCATGTTTTAATGAAAAACAAAGACAGCCTATCAAGCCATAGGACCTGGGCGCCTTGTTGTCCAAGATAAGGACAATGCTGGACAAAACTTCCTATCCACTCCATAACGTGCTGTCCAGTCATAGGAGGATGCTCTGTGATAGACTGAGATTACCTAAATGCAACATTGAATGACACAGGAAATCATTCCTGGACAACTCCTCCATCTAACGCACACGTACACAATGCAATAGTTGCACAACATTACTATCTGCACATCCTTTACAGAGAAAATAACAAAGTACAGTACGGCAGTATGCACCTCAATGTCAACCAGAGATATGTAATTTTGTTTAATATACTGGGATATTCACAGTTAGAGCTATTTGTATTTATTAGAGCTATTTTGTAATGTTGTAGTGTGCGTTATTTAATTTAGTAAACCTGATTGAAATGTGTCCATAAATGAAAATACCCAAACCTTAATGAACTGAAGCAATACTGTAAAGAACCGTGGACCAAAGGAGGGGGTATTAAATAAGGCGTTGCCACCAGTGACACTGAAATGTCATTTTCGATTTAGAATTAATATGTATAAAAACAAAAAAAAGACAGACAGAATATTTTAAAATAGTTTGATTTATTTGTGCTGGCATTTAAATGGAAACTTTTAGAAAGGCATGGTTCAAAGAGAATACATGCATTTTTCTGTCAGTATATCGGTACTGGGAAACCAGCTGTTGGATAACATTCAACCTGACAGTGAACCAACATTATGAGGCATTGCCTTCCCTGAGTGAATTGACGTTAGCGAATAACTGTAGAATTCACAGCCAACGAGTCATAGCCTGGAGCTGTTGGGGTGCACGGGCCTCTCATCGGCCACAGCTTCATTTGCATACATACCTGAGTAAATGCGGGGAGTTAAACTTGTCGGGTTTTAACCAATTAAATGGCGAACGACACACTCTAATAGAGATGTACTGTATCTTGATCAAAGTTACTTCAATATTCCTTAATACACATCACCCGCAGCATTTCAGTCTGGTGAAAATTATACCTCCGTGCTATCCTTTTTTGAGATTTTCAAAAATAAAAACACGAGGTAAAAGAGCAGCAGGGATACACATAATGAGCTGTTGTTGTCGATACTTCTCTGAGCTGACGGCAAAGCAGAGACAAAACTAACACCTACAGCATGTACTTGCAAATTCTTGATTTAAAGTTTCTTATAGATGTTAACTCTCAGCTGTGTCTCCTTGTGTGGTGCATACTCTGTGTCATCTTTTCTTTGCATCTTCTTTTTCAACACAGTGTGTAACAGCCCTAAGGTTTCTGCCTTCCTCTTCCCCCACAGTATTCATTGCGGCTCTCATCACACACACCAACTGATGTGTATAGAAAATACATGAAACCTGCACTCAGTATGCACACTTAAAAATGCTAAGGTATGCATCAGCAATTTTGATTTCGATGTCTCGTTCTTAGTTTATCATCTTTACTTCACACGATGTTGCTAATTTAGAATATGACTTACATGTTTTTCTGACTGCTTAGAGACTACCTTTGCAAACGTCACCACACTGACCAAAAAGCTTATATTAAATCATCTAAATCATAAATTTGAGCTGCCCAAATTCCAGCAAACAAATTGAATAAATCCAATTCAATAAATTAAACTGAAGTAGGAAATACCCTCTCATATTGGATGCATTGGTTCACAATTGGTCAAACCACTTTCCCAGCCTCCTAATGCTGTAACAAGCGTAATTTCATCAGTTATACTGTTGCTCATTCCTCTTCTGGTTTTACTTCATCTCTTGTTTTTCTTGGTTCTGTTGTTCCTCTTCCAGTTTTCACTCTTCTTCCTTTATGTCAAGTTTCAGATGTTTACCTGTACACCTATGTGGCAAAAATTGTAGATTTCAGAAATTATGAGTCCACACAAGTACTGTAATCATCTCCAATATACACAGCGATCTCAGTCTGCAGGTTCTCTGGCACTGTGAAACAACAGACTGCTTAATAACCATAAAA